TTGTATGGCACATGGAGCTCTACTCAATGTTACCTGCCAGCCTAGATGGGAGGGGTGCTGGAGGAGAATGGATACAAGTATATATACCACTGAGTCCCTTTGCTGTTCACCTACCACAATTGTTAATTGGCTATACCCCAATACAAAATAAAAAGTTTAAGAAACAAAGGCTTTATGGAAACTGAAGTATAGTTTGGGGGATGAACTGGTGTGTTACAGGCAAGATGGAGGTTAAGGGAACTATGAACCCTTGGCTGTCTGATACCCAATTTAGCATCAAGAATTCTCTTCCAGACGTCGGTGGTGGAGAATCTGCCTGCCAATGCAGGGGACATGGGTTTGATACTTGGCCAGGAAGAGTCCACGAAGCGCATTCACAGCAACTACTGAGCCTGCACATCCTAGAGGCTGTGCTCCACAACTAAAGAAGCCACCACAATGAGCAGCCCCCACTCACCCCAACTAGAGAAACCCACGAAGAGCTGGTGCAGCCAAAAAAAAAAAAACCTCTTCCCAGTTAAGTGAACACTACTCTCCCGCTCTCTACTACATTTCTCTCCAGGACTGAGAGAAGATAGGCTCTAACAGAATTTAATTCAGTGCCTCTAAAACTAAATTAAGTGCACACCAGGATTAATTTCTGTCCTGATTTGTTTCCTCTCTCTTCGCAACCTGTAGGCTCTGCCACAAAACAAACTTACCATTCTAAGACCTTTTAGAAAAACATCAGCGTCCTCACTAGGATCATAATTCTTTTTTTTTTTTTTTTTCAGTCTTTAACTTCCTTCCATATCTTTCACCCAAAATAATGATGCTCTAAACACCATGGGTGCACAGGCCATGTAAAACACATAAATGCACAGTAGGAAGACAAGGAGAAGAGAAAGTAGCATGGATACTCAAGTTAAATACGACACCCACTTCTCTAAGTGGCTGTCAAAACATTTGGATCAACTAGAATTCTTTTCGTAGACTCTTACTTTAAAAATGGAGCATTAATTGACACTGAGAACCGTTTTCTTCTACAGATATTTTGCTGTAAAGTATGTGTGAAGGGATTTGATGTGTCTTATCCTCTGAGGATAAGTACATTTAACTTAATGCTGACACCCCCTGTTTCTCAAAGAACTAATGCTCGTTCCAACCAAAGGGCTCCAAAGTGCTGTGCAAAAGAACATGGATTGCTAGATATACAGGCAGAGACGGAGGGGAAGGACTTACCATGAAGTAAAAAAAAGGAAAATGCGAAAAACAGAACAGCATGATCTCATTTGTATAAAACCAAAACAAAACAAGCACTTATACAATCATGAGAGACCTGTTTATATCTGCCCAGTGTGTCTCCCCCGTGCTAAGACTCCCTTCTGCCCACGTCTCCCCTCCTAGGGGACCCTCGTGTGTTGCAGGGTAGATAAACCCTGGATGACTCAGGCCTGATGGATCAGACAATCCTTGTCTGATGTCATGTCAGGGATGGCTTCTTCTTCCCTCTGGGGTTGCTGAGCTGGTGACACTGCCAGCAGCCATACCACCTCAGTGAAGAAAAAGCCCAAACACAGTAAAAGCCACGCAGAAGCGAGCAGGATCGGAAACTGGAGACGGAGCCCTGGAAATGCTCTTTGAATTCCTAAACCAGGCTGTTCTTAATTACGCAACTCGGTATGGGACCTTTGCAGTGTGTTTTGGGGTTGAGGAAGAGCCTTAACTCAGTTTAAACTAGATTTCTGCAATTCTCTGTGGAAAATTTCCTAATCCAAGACCAGTCAGAGAAAGGTGCAACACTGCTGGCTTTGAGGATGGAGGAAAGGGTCCAAGCATCAAGGAATGTGGGCAGCCTCCAGCAGAGGGGAAAAAAGGAAGTGTCTTCACCCCTTGAATTCCAGAAAGGAGAACTGCCTTGCAGAGGCCTTGATTTTAGCCCTGCGAGACACATGTTGGACTTCAACAAAACTGACATGCTCAATGCTCTGTGGTGACCTAAATGGGGAGGAACTCCAAGAAAAACTGGATAAATGTATACCTGTGGCTGATTCACTTTGGGGTACAGTAGAAACTAATAGCATTGTAAAGTAACTATACTCCAATAAAAATTAATTTTTAAAAATTCACTAATGAAAAAAGCTGTAAAATAATAACTGGTGTTGTTTTCAGCCTCTGAAAATAACTTCCAAGTGTAGGAAGTTTCTAGAAGAATTCTACAGTTTTATCTCTGTGGAATGAAAATGAGGGGGGGGAAGTAGGGATATTTTATAAATTTTTAACTAGAAATATGCATTTTATTAGGGCATCCCTTGTGGCTCAGATGGTAAAGAGTCCACCTGCAATGCAGGAGGCCCAGGTTCAATCCCTGGTGGGGAAGATCCCCTGGAGGAGGGTATGGCAACCCACTCCAGTATTCTCGCCTGGAGAATCCTGTGGACAGAGGAGCCTGGTGGGCTACAGACCATGGAGTCTCATAGAGTTGGACACAACTGAGTGACTAACACACACACATGCTATAGTGGACTTCCAAGATGGTGATAGGGGTAAAGAACACGCCTGCCAATGCAGAAGACATAAGAGATGTGGGTTCGATTCCTGGGTCGGGAAGATCCTCTGGAGGAGGACACGACAACCCACTCCACTATTCTTGCCTGGAGAATCCCATGGACAGAGAAGCCTGGCAGGCTACAGTCCATGGGGTCTTGAAGAGTCAGACGCGACTGAAGCAATTTAGCACTCATAATATTAAGTAAATGAAAAACTAATTTTAAACGTGGTTAAGAAATAATAATGATAATAATAAAAATAAATAAATAAATGAACGTGGTTAAGAACGGAGTCCAAGGGGTCTCAAAAAGAGTCTGACACAACTTAGTGACTAAACAACAACCAACAATGGAACCAGAGTAAACCCCTAAGCATCTCCGGAGTCATCACCCACCCAGGAGAATCAGAATACCAGCTGCTTCCCAAAGGCAACAGCACAGCATGGACGTGTCTTGTGCGGAATTCCAACGAGTATCATTAATTGCGCTAGTAACACAATGGTGAGCCAATGAGCTAACACTTGCACACCACACCCCAGGTCAAACCAGATCCCCCCAGTCTGGTTCCGCTGGACCAGACAGCAGGGGCTGGACCATAACTCACAAATGCATTCTGGAAACTGATTTTGAAGGCAGGGCTGGGGGAGACAGACAAGAGAAGCCAGAATAGTAATTGGCCTACAATTTAGCATACTTTTCAATAGAAAAATCAACAAATTGCCAACAAATCACTATGCTAATGAAGAAGCGCTCTGCTCAGCAATGAGCATTTAGCAGAAGAGAAAAGACAACTCATTTATGCCACTCTGTAAAGCAAGCTGCCATTCCAGGGGGTCCCCTGCTGAATTTTAATGTGGGGAAAACAGAAAAAAGGAGAGCTGGCGGCTCTGCTCGTGTTCCCCTCCGGTGCTCGAGACAGAATGCCACACAGCGAGCTGGCTGGTGGGCAGGTTGGCAGGTGGCTTTCAACGCCCATGCAGATGCCACATTCAACATGCTCCTCTTGAAGATTTTCAGAAAGGAAAATATCTACCCCTTCCTCTCAACAACTGACTTCCATTGAACACACACCTTTCTCTGCTAAATTCACTTCGTTTTACTTAGACAAGAGAAGTAAGTCAGGTACATTCTGCCAAGCTTATAGGGGGAGACATACAGAATATATATTGGCTATGGGCAGAATTCTTTTTAGTTTGTCTTGAAGTCTATGCCCAGAGGACAATGGCATGAAACAGTGTAGCCCGAGCCACTTCACAGCTGGGCAGCCTGGTCCTCCATCAAGAGTGACAGAGAGGCTGAATAAGGCTGTGGTCTATTTCAGGGACATGTCTGCTTCCAAACAACAGGAGAGTCCCGTTTCTACTTTCCTCTTTTTCTCCACCTTCTTTCCTACCTTCCTCCTCTTGGTTTAAAAAAGATAAGGCTAAAGAAGAAAAATACCGAGACCAGAAGCATAGGCCAATACATCACATTTAAAGGCTATGAATAAAACATATTGGAGATGCAAACACGTAAGTCAGATCCCTTTGGCCTTTTCCGATTTATCTACGAGGAATAAACGGAGATCAATTTCAGATTTCAATTGAAAGACTAAAGGTTAATTCAATAATTCAGGTGGAAAATTTATTTCAAGTATAAAATAGGATTTAAGATTGTCTTTTACTCTAAAAATTTTCAAGTATTCTCAGTTTATCAAAGTGGTTAAAGTAATAGCAGATTTTACTTGCTGTAGGCAGAAGCTTATCTTTAAAAAGATTTCAATGGAGATTACTACTGCACCATATTCAGAAACCCTGGAAACAAATTTTTTAAATGCTTTTGAATGATCTTCCTGTGTATGTGTATCTCAGTTCCTTCTTTCAACTTCCTACAGTCTAATTAGGGGCTTCCCAGGAGGCTCAGTGGTAAAGAATCCGCCTGCCGATGCAGGAGACACGAGAGATGTGGGTTCAGTCTCTGGGTCGGGAAGATCTCCTGGAGAAGGAAATGACAATCCACTCCAGTATTCTTGCCTGGAAAATTCCATGGAGAGAGGAGCCAAGTGGGTTACAGTCCATGGGGCTGTAAAAAGTTGGACATGACTGACTACTCATTGTCTAGTTAGGGTCTAAGTCCCTCCTCTATGAAAAATTAAAATAAGTGATTCAACAGCAATATTAAACTGATCATTGCTCGACTATGTAACATAAACAAGGATAACAATTTGAGAAACACTACGAAACTTACAAAGCATTTTATCTAAATATGTCTTTATCTTTGGGTTGGCCAAAAAGTTTGTTCAGGATAAACTTCTTGGCCAACCTAAGAACTGTGCAACATACATGGAATGGAGATATTATTGTCTTGCTTTACAGATAACAAGAGAGTAAAAATATCATTCCCCTTATTTCCCAAAACATGCCCCTCTGACAGTCACCTGCCGACACCTAAGAGTCAGACTCGTTGCTCAGCAGCAAGCGATGAGTCACTTACCAACACACAGGATGTTGAAACAGAATCCTTGAGAAGTTGATTTGTTGACCAGCTGGTCGGGGAGACTGTCAAATCCAACATGGCCAGAAAGGGATAAGTTTCGAAGCTCTTCATTCTGGAATGTCAGAGGGGAAACGTTGGAGAACCCATGACGACACCACCTGGGTCCCCCTCCCTCTCCCGTCCTCTCTTCTGGTCACACGGGGAAAACGGCGACCCCTCTGCGCCCACCCCCTCCCTGGCTTCTACACAACTGAAGCGACCAACTCTAGAGCCATGCTCCTTCCACAAAACCACACTGACTCCCAAAGTACACCATCTCCCTCCCAGGCAGCTCAAGTATGGTTACAGGTGCACCGCCTCAGGGGAAATACGCTTTCCAGAGGTGGCTGATAGTGACATGCTCTAAGTGACACTAAAACTCCAACCCTTTAGACAGCCTCAAGCACTCAAGGAAACTTTTCAACCCAGAGGGAAAAAATTAAGGACTCTCTTCTAGACACAGGAGGGAGCTTTCAGAAGCTCATAGTGGAGGATGCATTCCCGTTACTATGCAGAAATTCTGTAACCACCATATTGAACTTATTGAAAATGGCGCAACACAGGGCTTGGTTCCTTCTCTAGCATGAGCTGGACAGGCTTTGTGGGGCCTCCGTGCTCTCCCCAACAGGCTATGCACTCCCCACGCCTGCTCAAGAGTCTACTGAAAGAGAATGGGGCTAGGGTAGTTATCACATTTTAAAAGCTGGATGACTTAGGCTGTATTATTATATGGTGCTAACTACCTCCACAATGCTGAATGCATTCTGTAGGTATTGGAGATCATTTGTAAAACCCTTTCTTCCCAGGAAAACAGAGGCTACCTATGGCCCTTCAATTAAGAACCACAGTTATAGTATGGGATTCCAGAAACTAGTTATTAAAGTCTTTCTGGTGTCTGGCTATGTTGCCAATGAGTTTTACACTCAAGATACTGAATTGGGGGTAAGAAAATGAGCCTCAGAGTTCCATTTTTAAATAAAGAAGCAAAAGCCTTGCACAGAATCAACTGGCCCATAGTTTTTAAAAGATGGGCCTTCGTTATCCTCCTATATGTGTTAGACAATAATGAGAGTGATGTCTTTGAATACTCAAAGGCTGAAACTCCATTTCCAAATCACTTCAATTACTAAAGAGATGGAGAAACGTGACTCCCTAAATGTTGGGGTTTTAGTGCAATGTCTTTATGGACAAAATGACGTCTGAGGGCCTTGCTAGCGCTAAAATTCTGATTCTGTGAAGTAAGGTTGGAAAACACCACCACTTCCCCTGAATACCATGGTGGCAGCTGCAGGTTTGCGGTCACTGGTGCAGAGAACAGATGCCAAGGCTATGAATAGCCTCCTTGAGACCTGCCAACAGTGAATATGAGACTCAAGAGTGGGCTCTTATCCTTGAGCAGGATGGCCTGGCCGACAGCGCACCCAGCAGCTTGGGGAGCGGCCCCCGGCGGCAGCCGCTCTGGTGGCTGGCCAGGCCTCCCAGCACCACCTCGAGGCCCCCAGGCTGCCACCTGCCCTTTCCCCTTCAGATACCTCAAAGGTTCAGGCAGCAGGTATTTTTAGGGTGTTTACCACATCCGCCAAGACTGAAGGAGGAGATCTGAAATGAGTCTGGGTTATATTTAGAACTCTTTCCACCACAGCTGTGCAGTGGCTGTTGCGTAGCCGGCGAGGAGACACCATCACACCAGCCTCTCTCCCGACGCGCCCCGGCCTTCAGCAGTCAGCGAGCAGCAAGAAAGGAGACCAGGCAAGGAAGAACTACCGCCCGACGGCCCCTCTCCTTTTCTGCCACAATAATTCTCTTAATGTCTGGGGTGGGGGAGGATAGAGTGGTTTATTGCTCTGGATTCTGGATGGTTGTTGGGTTTTTAGATTCAGATATTCACCCAGGAGCCAATCCGGGGAAAGAATCAGAGTTAGTAATTATAGCTCTCATCCCAGAACCCAATGCTCAGCATCTCATATTCTCACCATTTCCAAAACACGAGAAACCACCCACACACCCACTGAGTATTTTTATACCCACTGAAAACCACATACAAAATGAAAGGTTATAAAACAGTTTGGTCTTAAAATTTTTTTTTACTTTGAATTTATGTCTTCAACGTCTCTGTCTTCTTTATCATATAAAATATGTAAATTTTATAATGCCACTTCAAAAGTCCATTAGAGGACTGCCCAGCATTAAAGGAATCCTGAGGGCTGTTGCCCAGCGGTGGGTGATGGGGCAGTGGGAAATGGGAGGCTCCTCCTTTGGTTCACGAACAGGCTTTCACACTAAAATCACTGCAGGATATATGAGAGGAGTCTATTTAATTCATACAGAGCAGGTAAAATGAATTCCTGCACTCTGCACCTCATAGTACCACGCCTGTAGCTTTATGCCTTAGCTGTCTCGACCCAAAGAATGTGTGTGGGGCTCGAGTCTAGATATGATCGCGGGGAATCTCAGATATTCTCCTGTCTTTACTGCTATCATATATTAGCAATGACTCTCAGAATTTTCTGTCTGGTACTGAGCTCTGTCTGCATCCCAGTTCTGAATTTCTACCCCAGGGCCAGTTCTCCCAGGTTGTCTTACTTGTACCTTAAACTGTTCATCAAACTTGAAATCATCTTCCTTGATTACAAACCCACCCCTACTCCAGGGTTTCCTACTTCTCTTAATGGCACTAATTTGTGCTTGAGACCCACCTGTCTCATTCATTTCAAAGTGTTATTAATGCTGCGCCCTCCTCGAATTTATTCTCACTAATTTAGCAGCCTTCCAACCAGATCCCACTCCCTCTAATCCTCTCTCACTCTACTTGGCTGCCAAAGGGATCTTGGACTCAAAGGCCCTCAATCCAAACTTCTTACTCTGCCTTCTCAGGAGCTTCTGTAGGCTGATATCAAATCTCTATTGCTGTCGAATCTCCCACTCCTCCCAGAGGAGGACCTTCCACTGTAGTTAAATGGAATTACTTACAGTTCCTGGGAGTGCCCCCGGTTTCTCCTCATCAGACTTTATTCATATTGTGATCCTCTATCTGGGAGGATCTTATAGCCTCCAACACATCCCAACCTTCCACATCCCATAGAAATTTTATCTCAATCTTGTCTTTACTGGGCTTCCCTGGTGGCTTAATCGGTAAAGAATCTGCCTGCAATGCAGGAGACCTAGGTTTGAAATCTGGGTCAGGAAGATCCCTTGGGGAAGGGAATGGCTACCCACTCCAGTAGTCTTGCCTGGAGAATTCCATGGATACCGGAGCCTGGTGGGCTACAGTCCATGGGATCAAAAAGAGTCAGACATGACTGAGCGACTAACACACACCCTTGTCTTGACTATGAAATCTCAAGGTGAATATCAGTAAATGCTCCCTTTATCAATAAAAGGAAAAATGATGAGTGGATAAAGGTGGTTAGAGTGGATAAAGGTGGCATTCTACCACCATATAACGGCTAGCATTTATTGATCAAGGTTCCAGAAAAGCTTTAAACATTAATGAACTAAAGAATTTTAACAGTTCTATGAGGTAGTTAACTACTGTTACCCAGTCTCAACTGCCAGATGAGAAAACAGAGCCTACAAAGTTTAGTAACTTGCCCAAGGTCACACAGTCAATAAGGTGAGAAGCTGAAATGTGGACCCAGGAGGTCAGATTCCAGAGTCTCTGTTAACCACATGAAGATCTAAGTTCCTAGGTAGACAATACAATGATTTAAGCCACTATTGAAAGCCAATATATTAAACTAGAAAGAAAAAAAAGTTCTCTAATTCTCTGGCAACCATAAGAGGTGGAAGTTGAAAATTAGAATTGGCAAAGTAGCTCTTAAGTATATTTTCATGGGTCCTGGCAATGTTGAGACTTTGATTTTTGCATCTACGGCACATGAAGCCAATAATAAAAGGCTTATTTTGGACCATTTTTGAGATGCAAGTGCCAACTTGGAGCCACCAAGCAAGTAACTATAAGACCTTAATTGATTCAGTCCTCCATTTGCTAATCTACCTCGGGAGGGGCTGTACTTGGATGATTTCTAGGCCCAATCCATCCTGAAATGAGTTATGACTAAATTCTATAGTGTAAAATAACCAGTCTTTAACATGACAGCCTCATTTTTCTCTTCCCAGATCTCTTCACAGTCTTTCAAAAAAACACTGCTCAAAGCACTAAGGGAACAAAAATACATTACTTTTGTTATTCATTGACAAATGCTCTTCCTGCCCTTCAGAGGCTTACTGTGTAGCAGTAGAGATAGGACACAAGTAGTATTAAGGATGAGAGAGATAAATACTGTGGGATGACAAAGGAGGAGTGGGAGCTTTTGGCAACGGCAATTCAGGGGCTATCTTTCAGGAAGGCTGGAGTTTTCCAAACCTACCAGGAAAATAAAAGTCCAGCTTGCAGAACCTGCCAGATAAACACTATCTTCTGCCCAAAGGGTTACTTTATTAGGAATGTGGGTATTCTTGAAGATTACAGTCAACAAGTTTTGCAGAAGATGTCTAGCTGACTTCATTATGGAAATAATTATAAAACAAATTACATAAGAATGTGCACCAACACCTACATTCTGAGTGCTGCTTCAAAATATGTTCCACATTTCCAAATCTTGCTTAGTCAAAAATTGGATGGCACAAAGCTTGGAGTCAGATAGCCATGGGTTTGAATCCCTACCCGTTTTAGTCCCCGTTCCTCCATCAGTTAAAAATGGTCCTCTTGGCAAGGTGGCTGGAAGCAACTAAGGGAATGGTACATATGGGAGCGCCAGCATTTAATAGGTCTTCAGGAAACCTGGGTTTCCTTTCCCCGAATTAGGTGGGACGAAGAGAGGAGCTCTCCTATTGCTGCCGGGCCCCCAAAGAGTCAGAGACAACTTAGCAACGTTCAGGTCACACTTCATGCTGGGAGACTCTGCGGATGGACAAAGCCCTCAGACTACCCAGGGAGGAAGAACCACTAAGGGTATGAACAAAGAGGGGGATAAAAGAACACGGAAGAAAGAATGGGACTCTAGCATGAAGAAAACCCACCCTAAACAGGATGCTCATTTACAAATCTTCGGGAAAAGCCACAGAATTCCA